GCTAGAGCACAGGGCCCTGTGCATGAAAAACAAGGACCCTCTCACTGAGCCAGATCCCCCGACCACTAAACTCTTGGCGTCCTCTCTTTCGTCTTTCGTGGGTGGGGTGGCTTGGCTTCTGTGCACAGGTGCACCTCCAGGCTCACAGTGACTCCCAGGGAAGGCGCTGGCTCGGCTCTGTCACCTGCTTAATGGCTGGACCTTGGATTGTTGGGTTGCTGCAACCAGGACCTTGATATTCTGGGCTTCTCTAACACCTGGCACCCAGGAGTTCACCAGAAGAGTTGGCTGGCCTGGGAGATGTGGCTCCCTCTGCTCATTGCAGGAGTAAAACTCTTCCTTCACAAGGTCTGCATGGGAGAGAGGCACAGGGTCTGGGGGAGAGTGAGGGTCGTTGCTGAGACTGTTGCTGCTCTTCCTCTAACTTCACACCTGCAGATATTAACATCTTTTATAAAATTGCCTAAATTTCTTTTGATATAGGCTTCCTGTTACCCACCTTTCAGCACTAAAATGGCATCAGATGGTGGAGTCTGGCTGGTTCAGCGTTACTTCCCCTTCATCCCTGTCTCAGTTACTCTTCTCTCCTTGCTGGGGCAAATACCCAATGCCCAAAAGCAACGAGGGAAAGGTTTATTTAGCTCACTGTTACTGACCGTGTCTGTCCATACTCAGCTGGCTCCAAGGCAGAGCAGCACATGGCAGAGAGCAGCCTTGCTTGGTGGCAGCAAAGAACAGAGTAAAAGGGAGGAGTAACAGCAACACTGGCTACAGAGAGCAAGTCTGTCTCCCTTAAGCTGCATTCAGGCTGTCCGCCCCAGGCTGGGTGCAGTATTCACACCCATAATCCCAGCAGCACTCACACCCGTAATCCCAGTGGATCATGAATTAAGCCACCCCACGACTGTATAAGCCGCCCCACGACTGTATGAGGCTTTAGGGGGACAAGTACACACTAACCATAACAATCCCTGATAGAACTTCCCATCCATTCCTTTGAAGATTGATTCTGGGTCTCTTTTGGTGGGTGAGAGACTGGAATTGCTCCCCTGAAGGGCTTAGCTTAGCAGTATGGCACATACCTTAGTATTCTATATTGCAGAGAAAATAGCTGTAAGTTGATGTTATGTGAAGAAGAGCTACTTCTTCACCTGGTGTGTTTTTCTAACAATTAATCTCAATGAAAAATAGAAAGCAAAGTCTTGTACTTTTAAAAAGAAAATACTGGGGCCGGGGAGATAGCTCAGTAGAATAAGTGCTTGCCTGGCAATTGGATGCAAGGGCCTGAGTTTAATCCCTGGTTCTGCCAAAAGAAAGAAAGAGAGAGAGAGAGAGAGAGAGAGAGAGAGAGAGAGAGAGAGAGAGAGAGAGAGAGAGAGAGAGAGAAAATACGATGAAGTGGTTCCGGAAAAATATCTTACACGGTGGTAAATATTAAGCGTCCCGCACATGTTTGCATTTGCCTCGGTTACCTTTGGTGTATAGGAGGGCTGAGGGCAGCATTGCAGGTGTCCCTGCCCTCATCCCCTTTGTGAACTGTCCCTTGAGAAAGCCGACTTGCTGAGCTTGCTTGTTGGGGACAGCAAGGGGACAGCAAGACGGCTGTGCTGCCCATGAACCTGGGCCCAGCCGGGAGGTGCACTGAGGACAGAAGAGGTGGAGCAAACCTGTCCTGACCAGAAGCAGCTTTGTGTTTACTGCTGGGGAAGAACTCTAGCTCCAAGGCCTAAGTGATCGTGGTCTCCACGGCCCGGAGCTCTGTGCTGTATCAGCGCTTCACCTGCCTATTCACAGGTGCCTCAGGGCTGCCCTTGTGTTGTTTTCCCTTCAAACATAGGCTTGACCTTGTGTTCATAGTTTGATGATGTAAGAAATGAACAGGAGGTTAGGAAAGAGCGCTTCAAAGCATAGACGTAAAATATCAAGGCACAAGAATGTGTATGGATGTTTATTGTATAATATAATTTTATGACAAATTTAAATACTATAGCTGCGTGGTATGGATTGTGTCTAGTTGTCCCCCCAAAGCCTCATGCCATCATGGGTGGCTTCTGGAGTTTGTGATTGTTGGGAGTGTGTGTGTGGGCAGGCACTCTGCATTGCAGTGTGAGGAGGGAGAGGGGCTGGCCGGCCGCCTGAGCTGCTGCTTCTCCTTGTGCTCTTGCTTTTCGCCACCACGAAAGGCTGCCCTCTGCCATGTGCCGCTCTTCCTTGGAGCCAGCTGAGTATGGACTGACACTTCCAGTAATACTGAGCTAAATAATCCTTTCCTCCCCTAATTCTGGATGTCAGGTGTCTGTCCCAGCAAGGAGAGAAGAGTAACTGAGACGTTGTACATACAGCATTTTCATATAGCATATGTACACCTTACATATAGATTTAAAGATATTCTCTCTAAATTACATTTATATATGCTGTTTACATTTTTTTAAAAATTGCCTTAGAAAACAATGTGTAGCATTGGATCTCATCTCACATTCAGAATGACTTGTACAGATGCATAAAGTTTAAATAAAATTTGAAATACATTTTTTCAGTAATAGTTTTGGGCACTATATAGTTTCTAAAAGAAGAGTTAAGTGCAAGTGTTTTGTATGCAATGTAGAATAATGTCAGATAAAAGCGTTGAAAACATTCCAATAAACTTAATTTTCTTTAATTTTTATTTCATTTAATGTCATACACAACTTATCATGACATAATAAAAATACTTAGTTTGATCACATGGTAACATTTCTTTATCTCTTGACAGTGTATAAAGTTCCCTTGATCTTAGGTCTAATAAGTATGCTTACTATGGCCCCAGGAAGGAGAACAGTCGAAGTTCATGTAGTCTGTGTGTGCACTATAGTGAGCCGGGTGCACTCTCTCGCCAGCCTGCTGCTTTGTCTGGTGCCGTGCACCCGCTGCACGCCCGGAGAGGGAGCGTGGATGTGCAAAGCTCAGTGTGCATCTTTTGCACCCCGGCCTGGCGCGTAAGTCCACGCGTCTGTGCTGAGAAGGCTGTTCAGAGCAACCTGACGTTCAGTGTAGCTTCACTTGTTTTCTGCATATTCCACTGCTGTTGCTGGAAGCAGCTTTCTGGCAGAAAATAGTCTCAAATGAAGATAGACTTCTTTAGGGCTTTAGGTTTTGCTGGACTCCACATTCTAAACTAAAAATCATCTCCTATGTATAAATCACAGAGTTGCAAGTGGATCCATAATCTAGTGATTAGATTTGTGTCTCAGGTGGATTTAAAACATTCTTTTGCTTTGTACAGTGAGTAGTTCTAATTTTGTATTTTTTTAACTGTTGCAAAAGAAATTCTACTATGAAGACAACAATATGCAATATATTAATTATTATAAGCTTCCTGATAACCTGTTTTGAAACTGTTTCATTGCTATTTTATTTCTTTTGCTCATTAAAATGAATAAAAATTAAAAAAACAAATTCTATAAGCAATGGTTCAAGAATTTTGTACATATTGAATTTCTCTATTTTTAAATTAAGTGCTAATTTAAAATTTCTATTCATTCCAAATAAAATAAATTTTAATTCGTGGATTCCACTAATCAGGAAATCCTAAGTATATGTTACAATATTTCTGCCATTGTGTGGTCCTTGAAGAGAAGAGTGCTTTATGTGACTTGTCTCATCGTGTTTTTCAAAGAAGAGAGCCTAGCGCAGGGGCTGAGTCCTGTGTCAAATGAATTGGGATCCAGGGAAGATGGCTTTTCCTCTTAGACACTTGCAAGTGCTGTCCAATGCTGACGTTTTGCGATGTCCTCCCAAAAAGAGGCCCTGGAGCTCTGCCTCTGGATCCCCACAGTCCTGATCGCGCGGGCGTTTTCCTACACAGCATCTGTGGATACCCAGCCAGTTAGTTTGTAAAATACATCTTGAGATGCAGCGATCTTTTTTCTCCAAGTGATTGTCTTTCTTTAAAAAAACATTTATTGTATGTTTACTTTCTGTCTAATTTGACAGTGTGTGTGTTTGTCGAGTCCAGCAGGCCCGTGGCGAACATCTTCACCCGGTGCCGACTCTGGTGCCGATGGCATCAGGGCCAGGCGTGCCCGGCCCGTGAATTCCAGAGAAGGAAGGGTGCAGCCGGAGCTCGGGGAAGATGAGCCTGAGATGCTGGGGTGCAATTTTACATTCGTCGGCAGAGAGGCTGGGCTGTAGCTCCGTGGCCCTGCGCCTGCCTGGCAAGTGCGGGGTCCTGGATTCCGTGCCCAGTACCCACAGAAATAATTCCTTGGCAGCGATTTTATTCATCCTTTCTTGTCCATTTTACTTCAGTCATGCAATCTGTGCCCATAATTTCTATTTGGGGCGCATTTCAGCACACTGATGCTCAGAACTTCGGCTGAAGGGCCCTGCTAGCTCATGACTTCTAGAGGACGAGAATGCTAGTGTGTTGGGTAATCTCTTAGCTCATGCCATCCCCATTCAGTTTCTTTTAGTCTTATAACCTAAACTCATGAGGAAATTTCTTCCACTACTGCTAGGTTACACATAGTTTTCAAGAACCATTTGAGCACTGAAAAAAGAGATGAATTTTTAAAAACCATGGTTTGACAAAGTGGTAATAAGACATTTAGCTACTTCTGAAGCAACCTGTTGTTGCCCAGAATATGCGTGTGCATAGGTGTTTTTCCTCTGTGTGAATGGTTCATCTGACGTGAGTGTTTCACTTTGACACATGGCTCTCCGTTCTTCACTGCTGTCTTGTCCCCAGTGTAAGATGTAGTGTTCTCCTGCTGCTGATGTACTGCTTTAATATGTTTGTGGAACATATTGGCTAACCTCAAGGGATTTTTGTAGAATATATTGTGAGAGGAATATTATGAAGGGCTTATTTCATTTTCCATGAAAATCAGGCTCCCCAGAAGTTGTCTTTTTTAGCTATTTTAACTAGTCCATGTTTGTAACCAGATAAATTAAGTATTTGATCGAGTATTCTCTTGCTTTTGTTCTGATCAGTAAAGTCTTCCTCTTTTCTTTCTTTGTAGAGCAATGAAGTTGTCTACTACAATGCTAAGGATGACCTTGATGTGAGTACTAAGCATTTTACATTAAATTCTTATTATAATGCAAAGGCTGGTGTGACAGAACAGAGTGACCTTGGCAGGTTTGGTTTTTAAGAACACATGAGGCACTATAAGCAAAATATCAGACACAGCAAAGGAATGGTGAATGTTAATGCTCATGCGTTCGTCAGCTTCCTGCTGGCCTCTTGCCAAGGGGAGTGCCGAGCTTCACTGCACTACGTCTCCTCGCTCCGCACCTTTCGAGTGTGCCATCCCGTCAGCAGTGCGGAGGACCGCGGTGAGGTCCCGTCCTGGGCTCGTGGCTCCTGGCCCTGGTCACCACACAACTCGCCTCTCATTTGAACAGCACTGCAGGGACCATTTCGCTGGCCCGTAATGGGATAAGACCCGGGCGGAGCGAGGCTGGCCCTGCTGTCCATCTCTGAAGTACAGCAGTTACCCGGCAGGCAGGTTCCGCGCACTCAGGCCTCGGGAAGGGAGCAGAGGGCTGGGGGCTCGGCGGGCCACCCGGCAGCCGCCCGCGGGCCTCCTGGCAGGGGCCGCTCGCTCACGGTTCCGAGTCAGTTAGGAGCAGGGCTTGTGTCAGCACTAATGAGTTATTGCCACTCTGGGTAGAGATAGAAGAGACATTTTCAATACCTATGGTAGCAACATTTAGAAAATGTAAAATGCAATTTACACTTAAGTTTTAAAGTTTATCAAATTAAAAAAAATAAATAAAGGGGCTGGGGAGATGGCTCAGTACAGTAAGCGCTTTCCTGGCAAGCGCAAGGGCCTGAGTTCAATCCCTGGTTCTGCCAAAACTAAATAATATAAAATAAAATGTTTCATATTTAATTATTGGCATGGAAGATATCTGTATGTGATTAATTGTCCAAGACTCTTCGTTGAGGTTTTCCTACATTTTAAGCATTCATCTAATAGCTCAAATTTTATCAGGGAAGAATCAAATTAATGTAGTAAAATTGTATTTGCTCCTCAAGCATTTGGCATTCAAATAAACATTATAATATAATTATAGTATATAGATATGACGAATACAATATATTGAATATATATGTATATATAGCTAGATATAGAAATAGTAAATAGTGGGAGAGTATATGTAGACACCTAAGGAGGGAGACAGTCAGACTGACACATGAGACAGTCTTTGAAAAAAAATTAAAAATAGTATACTTCGTTCTAATGTCACAACTCCCCAGATTACATGACTAATAATACTAATTAGAAATATAGCAATTAATGGACGCTGCATTTTCCCATAAGCTGCTAACCAATTTGCACAAATTACCTTGATTCTTGCAGCAACATTATGAACTAAATGTTTTAGCTCCTTCCTCCTTTTTGCTGATGAAGAGCTAAAGTTTTTTAAAGATATTTTCCCCTTCTGTGCATAAGTGTTTTGTTAGTGACACTTTCCTCCTACAAAGAGTATCTGCATCTTAAATGAGGTACATTAAGTGCTATATATCATTTTTTTCTTTGTTTTTGGAACAAGGAATTGAACTTAGGACCTCACAATTGCCAGTCAAGTGCTGCGCTGCTGAGCTGTATCCATAGCCCCTGTTTCATTTTCATTAATTACAAAGACTATATCTTCACACAAAATGTAGTGTGTATTGGTTGGTGTCAGAATAAATATCAGGGCCAGCCAGATATCTCAGCAGACTAAAGTGCCTGCTTAGGCAGAGTGCAGCGGCTAGGGTTCAATCCCCACCTTGCCATGCTGGCCCAGCCCCCTGGCATGCTGAGATGGTGATTGAGACTGGAAGTGGTGGCGCGCGCCTGTAATCCCACTCTTCGGAGGCTGAAAACAGGAGAATTAGCATGAGTATGATCTATGTAGTGAGACTCTATAGAGCCTTTAGAGCCTGTCCTAAATACATTTTTAAAAAAGAGTAAATATCATTGGGCAAAGACATTCAGTTTCCTATTAGAATTAGTATTTGACTTTTAAATATTATATAACCATTTTAAAATTATGCAAAATCATCATCTGATTTTCTAGTAGCATGTTCATGTTAATCTCAATTCTAAAAAGTTGACATATATGCCCACTATAAGTGAAAAAGGGTACATAGATTATATACTGCAAATACTTAAGTTGTACTCAATATTTGCATCATAACTTATCTAAATAGGCATTTATTTAGGTATTCAAATTTTTTTTGAGAAAAAACATAAAAACAAACATATTAAATTTTCTTGTGTTTTGGTCTTTTTCTCATAAAAGTGGATAACACCTTTGTGGGCTATAGTTATTACTTTAAAATTATTCATTCCCTTTGTTAGATGCAACATGAAATTTCCTAAATAAAAACTTTGTAAGTAGCAGATTACTGGAGCTGGGGATTTGGCTCAGTGGTAGAATGCTTGCCTAGCAAGCAGAACACACTGGCTTCAGTCCTTGGCAACAAAAACAAACAAACAAAAAGTAGCAAATTACCAACTCTTATATTTCACATCTAAAAATCAGGAAAACTTTTGGAGCAATTTTCCATGTATTTATATGAAAATAATAACAGTGTCAGAAGCACTTGCAGAATATTGTCTAATAGAAAAAATACTAGAGCAGAAATTTAAGATTATTTCATGCCTAGATGAATCCAAATTTTAGCTTTCATTAATATATTAAAATCTATTGTGTTTCAAACAGCTTTTTTTTTTTTTTTTCATATAAGATGTGATGTCAGGGCCAAATAGCTCAGTGGATTAAAGTACCTGCAAGCAGGCACAGGGGCCAGCGTTCATTCTCCAGGCCTGGAGCGCTGAGGTGGTGATTGAGACTGGGTGTGGTGGCATGCACAATCCCTGCACTTGGGAGGCTGTAAACAGGCAGATCACTATGAGTCTGGTCTATGCAGTGAGACCTATAGACCCTGGAAACCCTGTACTAAATGCAAAAAGAAAAAAAAAGACGTGACGTCATATTCATAAAGTGCGATGTCCTATCCATTTCTGAACAGGCCCGCATTTCAGTGATAATGTCTGCCTGCATTATGAGCACTCTTGTGTGTGCAGAAGTTATGACCATGTTACAGAATTGAATGGACCAAAGGAAGAAAATTCCTTTATAGTTCTCTTACTCCATATAAAGCTTTTTGTTGTATTTTTAAAGTATTTCTCATCAACATATATGTTTTCATACTTTCATGATTCTTTAAACAAGGAAATTGTTGAGTGCTTTAGTTATTTCCAGTGCTATGAAATAGCTGCTACATCACTGTTTTGAGTTGATGTAACATAATTCTCTTCTGTCTTGCAATTTTAGTGGTCCTTTGTGACTATGCACAGGTACAACAGTGGAATTAATGTCTGTGTGTGTGCACATTCTTCAGCACAATTTTAACTTTGTTTTTGCTGGACTCCTCAGAAGTGGCGCTGTTTTCTCTAGGTTGTTGATGCATGTTTACAGAAAGGACCGGCTAGAATCCAGGGCGAGCATCAAGGTGCCAGGCAATTATTTCCTCAAAGGCTGCTCAGCCTTGTATTAAAAGATAATTTAACACATTAAAATTGGCTTTCGCAGTTTTGATTACTTGTGTCTGCTAATAATTCACATTTTGCCCTCCACGTGGGAAAACCACGGTTTTTCAGAAGACCCTTCTTGTTGGCAGTATGACCCTATTTACATTGTCCAAGCTAAGTGAAATTCAATTTATCTATAGAATCTCTATATTATCATATATTCCTAATATTGGCTAAGACAAGGTTTTTACATACACAAAGCTGTTACATGTAGACATTAAGTGAATGTGCTGAGCTTTTAACCATATTCATAAGTCTATTTTGGTAAAGATTAGTTTGATAAAAATAAATTATTTTATAAGACGTTCTAACAGATATTTCTGGTATTAACTTTAAATTTATTTCACATATGTCATCTGAGATTTGAGTAAATTATAAACTACAAATTTAGCAGGCTCAGAATCATCAAAAACATGAAGAAATGTGTGAAATGGTCTACAACATGTTTTAAAAAAAGATTTTTATTGAGCTTGAACACTTAATTTAATTGTGCGCCTGCTGTCGTCCATATTGATTAGAGAATCAACACTGATGACGTGGCTGCCACTGCTTAAGGGAAGCAAGAATGTGATTTGTCATGAGAAAAAATGTTTTGAGGAATTACCTAGTAAAGCAGAATTCAACATGCTGAAGCCTTTTGAAGACTACAGGGTCAATAAATTAACATGTTGAATCTCAGCTTGAGTTGAACTATGGGAGGAATCGAGGCAGCCATATAATTTTCTGGATTTAGAGTAGTTCATGCAAGAATTCTGAAAGCAGGGCTAGCCAAATAGCTCAGTGGATTAAAGTGCCTGCAAGCAGGTGCAGGGACCAGGGTTCCCTCCCTGGGCCTGCAATGCCGGCCCCACTCCCGGGGTGCGCTGAGACGGCAATTGAAACTGGCATGGTGGTGCGTGCCTGTAATCCCAGCTTTTGGGAGACTGTAAATAGGCGGATCACTACAAGTCCGATCTAGTAGTGAGACCCTGAACATCCTCTAGACCCTTCCCTAAATAAAAAAAAAAAGTAATAATAATAATTCTGAAAGCTTATGAAGAAGTGTAAGATGATTAATTTTAGGTTTCACCAAGACATTTTTATTGAAATCACTCAATAGTACTTTAGCTATGATAGACTAAAACTTCACATATTGAATAAAAATGAACCATGCTATATTCAGTATGTTGGTTTCACTGTTACAGACAGACTTAAATTAAAAACAGATAAAATTAAATAGCACTTGAATCTTCTGTCATTAACATCCTGGCCATCCACAATCCCCACCTGTTCTCTGATTGCACATGGTGTGGACCAAGAGTGAAACTCCAGTGCCCAGGACCTGTTTTTCTTGGTTTTCTCTTTTCTTTCCTGGAGGCTATGACCTTTGTCTCTGAGGATGTGTTCTGAAAGCTACAAGATCACTTCTGTCCTCACGTAAACACCACGAGGATATTGTACTTCAGCATTTATACTTTTTACCCCAGAGATTC